AACCACTTTCAAGGACAACTCTTGTTTAATATAGTGACCAGTCACAAATGCAGAAGACTAACAATAAAGCAAGCTTTTGGTAGAGAACTGGTATACTACAGGTACAGAAAAAATAAAGTACCTGACCTCTTCTTCAGTTGAATGTATAAATATTCTTTAGGACATGTATCTTATTTTTTAACATTTCAATTTATTATTTTTTACATTCTGTTCTTTTAAAATTTTGAATTCTAAACTCTCTACCTTCCTCCTTCCTTACCCACTGAGAAGGCAAGCAATATGATATCAGTTATACAAATGAAATCATGCAAGACATTTCCATATTAGCATCACCTGCTTGATGTCATGGTCCTTTTTGAGAATGGAGGACAAACAATAACCTTGTGAATAATAGAAGCTGCCTCACTGGGAACCCAAATGGAACTGGCCAGTTGGGCAATACAGTTCTCTCTCCCATCCTTCCTTCCTCTCCTCCTCCCTCCCATCCTCTCCCCTCCCCTCCTTTCTTGGGGTTACTGGCTACATACCTTTCTTAAGGACCATGCCTTATACCCAAATCATTCTGGCTGTCACTGAGTGCCCAACAATAGGTCCCAGGCCAAACTCCACTTCTTCATTGTTTCTGCCTGATTGACTGAGAGTGAATGTAAATAGGGATTGTTTCTGTTTTACCCAGAACCCCTGAGAGTCTTCCCCTCCCAGTTTGACTTTTTTAATTTTGACTAGGTTAAAGAGGCCGTTCTTTGCCTCTTTTTTTTTTAACCTAGCCTTAATCACTGAATGGGTGTTGCTTCAGTCAAACTGAGACCTGCAAAAGACCTTAGCTTTAAAAAGCCAAGGTCTTCCACTGTATCTGGGGCCATCTCCAGTTGTTCTGATGTGTATTTTGCCACTAGACCCAGATGGCTCCAGAGGAGAAAGTGAGGCTGGTGACTTTGCACAGCCCTCCCTCACTTAAATCCAATTTACTTGCATGTCATAACATCACCTCCCAGATGTCATGGTCTTCTTCCAGAAAAAAAGGACAAACAACAAACAAGCTGTTATTGTGTGCAGTGATCTCCCGGTTCTTTTCACTTCACTTTGTATCAGTTCATATAGCTCTTGCTATGTTTTCTTGAAACCCCTTCTCCCCCCCATTTCTTATAGCACAATAGCACTCCATTACAATCATATGCCACAACTTGTTCAGCCATTCTGCAATTGATGAGCATCCCCTTAATTTCCAGTTCTTTGTCATCCAAAAAAGAGCTGCTACAAATATTTTTGTACATATAGATATAATATTTCCCTTTTCTTTGAACTTTTGACAGACCTAGTATTGGTATTGCACAGTTTTATAGCCCTTTGTTCTCCAGAATGGTTGGATCAGTTCACTACTCTACCAGCAGTTCATTAGCATACCTATTTTCCCCTTATTCATCTCTAGCATTTGTCATTTGTGACAGGTGTGAAGTGATCCCTCAGAGTTGTTTTAATTTGCATTTTTCTAATCAGTAGTTATTCAGAGCATTTAAAAAAATTTTTTTGAGGCAAATGGGGTTTAGCGACTTGGTCGTACAGCTAATAAGTGTCTGAGGCTAGATTTGAACTTGGGTCCTTCTGACTCTGGGGCCGATGTTCTATCCACTGCAACACCTAGCTGCCCCTACAGCATTTTTTATATGCCTATAGATAGCTTTGATTTCTTCTGAAAACTGCACATTTATATCCTTTGACCACTTATCAATTGGAGAATTGCTCATATTTTTTGTAAAATTGACTCAGTTCTATACTCAGTATATATTTGAGAAATGAGGCCTATATCAGAGAAACTTGCTGTACATAACTGTCTATGATATCTTTTAGCATAATGGAGTTTCCCTGATTATGTGTTTTAATTAGGTATGCTTTTGCTTTTGCTTTATCATGATTACTATCTCTGACTTTTTCACTTTAGCTGAAGCCTAGTAGATTTGCTCTAGCTCTTTAACTCTGCATGTGTCTTGTTTCAAGTTGCCTCTTCTAAACAACATAGTATTTGATTCTGATTTTTAATCCAGTCTGCTCTCTGTTTCCCTTTTAGGGTGGCCTCATCACATTCATGTTCAGAGTTAGGACTACTGTATATTTTTGTCTATTCCATTTTCTTCTGTATCTTCCTCTCCTTTTCTTCTGTTCCTCTGCAAAAGTCTATTTTATGTCTAACTATTGCTTCCCTTAATCTGCATTCTCTTTTACTGTCCTCTCCTTTCTCTTACTTCCTTCCCCTCCTATTTTCCTAATGGATAAATTACATTTCTGTATACAACTGAGTGTGTATATAGATTCTTCCCTCTTTGAACAAATTTTGATGAGAGCGAGGTTCATGCATTGCCTGCCACCTCCAACATTTCCCCCTCCACTATAAAACTTCTTCCTTGCTTGCCTCTTTTATGTGAGAAAAATTTCCCCATTCTCTCTGTCTCTTTCTCCTTCCACTGCATCCCTCTTTCTCACCCCATTGCCTTATTTTTGACATTATTCCAATGTAATTAACTGATTCCCATGCCCTTTGTCTATTAAACTTCTTCTAACTATTTTAATAATGATAAAATTCTCAGGAGTTACTGTATCATCTTCCCAGAATGGGACATAAAGAGTTTAACTTTGAACCCCCTGTGATTACTCTTTCATGTTTACCTTCTTATGCTTCTCTTGAATCTTCTTTTTGAATGTTAAATTTTCTATTCAGTTCTGGCCTTTGCTTCAGGGATGCTTAAAAGTCCTTTATTTGATTTAATATCCATTTTTTTCCCCATGAAGGATTATACTCAGTTTTGCTAAGTAGGTGATTCTTGGTTGTAATCCTAGCTCCTTTGCTCTCTGGAATATAATATTCCAAACCTTTAATGTGGAAATAGCTAAATCTTTTGTGATCTTGACTGTGGCTCCACAACATTTGAATTGTTTCTTTCTGCCTATTTGAAATATTTTCTCTTTGATCTAGGAGCTTTGGAATTTGGTTGTAATGTTCCTGGGAGTTTTCATTTTGGGATGATTTTTTTAGGAGGAGATTGGATTCTTTCAATTTCTATTTTATTCTCTTGATTTAAGATATCAGGGCAGATTTCCTTGGTAATTTTGATTTTTTTTTTGATCATGGCTCATAGCTAATCCAATAATTCTTAAATTATCTCTCCTTAATCTATTTTCCAGGTCATTTGTTTTCCTAATGAGATGTTTTACATTACATTTTTCTATTTTTTTATTCTTTTGGCATTGTTTCATTGTTTTTTGATGTCTCATGGAATTTTTAGCTTTCACTTGCTCAACTCTAATTTTTAAGGTATTATTTTCTTCACTGAATTTTTGTATCGCCTTTTCCAGTTGGATAATTCTGCTTTTTAAAGTAGATTTTTCAGTGGATTTTTATGCAACTTTTAGCCATTTGACCTATTCTGTTTATATATATATTCTCTTCCAGGACTTCTTGTTGAATTTGGGTCCAATTAGCATTTTTCTTTGAAGCTTTTTTAGGTAGCTGTTTTATGTTGTCTTCTTCTGAGTTTATGTCTTGGTCTTCCCTGCCACTGTAGTAGCTTTTTATGGTCATTTTTTGGTCATTGTTTTCTCATTTTCCCCAGGATATTTCTTTCTTTCTTTCTTTCTTTCTTTCTTTCTTTCTTTCTTTCTTTCTTTCTTTCTTTCTTTCTTTCAACTTAGGCAATCAGTGTTAAGGTCACACAGCTAGTGAGTATCATGTATCTGAGGTCAGATTTGAACTCAGGTCCCGCTGATTCCAAGGCTGGAGCTCTATCCACTGGGCCACCTTGCTTCTCCACCCAGGCTATTTCTTGACTTTGAACTTTATATTCAAGTTAAGCTTTGCTCTCCTGTGGTTGGAGAAGCACTGTGTTAAGCTTAAGGTTTTTTCATGCTGCTGTTTTCAGAACAGTTTGGGGGGATCTGCAAGTTTTGATGCTTCCAAGGTGATATGATCCTGAGAGAGATGTGGTCACTGCTGTCCTGGTCTACACTCTGGTCTTTACCCAGGAAGGGCCCTGGTCCACTGCAGCCACAGGCAGTAGCTCTCCTCTTTGCTTTGGAATTGTGCCCAGGGCCCCTGCTCACTTGTGACTTACCACCAGCTCTCCTCTCCACCTTGGAATTGTGACCCAGAACTGTGTATGTAAAATAGAGTTGCCAATCAGCATGAGCTGTGCCCAGGGCCAGCAAAGGATCCCTTATAATTTCTTCCTGATCAGTTTTCCAACCCCCTTACCATCTCTGGGCTGAGAGCTCCTGAAGCTATGGCTTCTGCGGCTGCTAATGCCCTTGCTGTGGGAGTGGGCTCCAGACATGCCTACACCCTGGTGATACAGACTTTTCCTGCTGAGCTCTTAAGTTTTCTTACGCCATGAAAATGTCTCGCCCCAATCTTTTGCTGACTATGCCTCTCCAAAATTTGATTTAAAGCATTATTTTAGTGTTGTTTGGAGGGGTGTGTTGGGAAAGTTCAGCTGAATGACTGCCTCTGATCTGCTATCTTGGTTCCACAGATTAGTTACGTATCTTTAAAAAAACAATTTTAATGGCTTTAGTAACATGGGTGGGTTGAATTCTCCAGAAATGAATAAACAGGATTGATGAGGTGGAAAAAACCTGCCCTTGGAATGAGGAGGGTTTAGTTCTAGTCAGAAACTCTGCAACCAACTTAGCGTGTGACTTTGAGCAAGATGCTTAATATCTTTGGATCTCAATTTCCTCATGTAATAATTGATGAGATTGGACATTTAAGATCCCTTCTGGCTCTAAAATTCTGTGGGAAGAGATGAACTTCTGGTATTTGTTGGGGGTGGGGACAGAAGAATGAAGAAGATTGATGTCAGTAGCAATTGTTTTTTTTTTCTTCCAAATTTAAGTAAGTTAATGAAGTGGTTACAGTTAGTTACCTTTAAAGACAGAGTTAGAAATAATCAGATAACTTTAGAAGAATAACTGTTACACAAATATTATATTCCTCTTATTTATTCTTCTAGGTCATTAGGAGTTCTACAAATACTTTAGATTGCCTGATGCTGTTGCTGTTAAAACCAAAATGGCTTTAAATTCAGTAAGTTGTTAATTATTACCTTTTAAGCTGTTTGTTCTTTAACTGCTTCTGTCAATTCTACTGGTAGCATGGTCCATGCTTTTAAAATCTATTACTGGAACAATGAATAAATGTATATACATTTTCTAGTTTTCCCAGTAATTTTTCATATTAGAAAGGAGTCTAAAGAGTAAGTAGTGCTATGGAGACCAGTTTCAGAGTGACTTATTTTCTCAGAAGTTAAGTTATGATGCTTATGGGCATAGTCTGTGATATGATATCCTGGTATCCATTATGTAGATTCTCATCATATTACCATTTCCTATTTTGTTTGGGGTATAGAGATTAGAGGAAGAAAGATGGTGGAAAAAAGAAGGGGGATGATGTTGGGGAAGAATGGGCATGAGAAAATAGAGGGGTGTGTGTGTGTGTGTGTGTGTGTGTGTGTGTGTGTGTTCCTTTATGTATAGGAGAAGAAAGAAAACTAAGAAGCTGTTCCTTAGCACACATTTCTTTTTCAGCTGGGGAGGGCACACCTTCCTCATTGGCCTAGGAAATACTACCTCTTTATTCTCTGAAATTCTCCTCTTCCCAGTCCATTGCAACTACAGATAGAATGACTCCAGTTCTTCAATCTCTTCTATTTATATATCTGGTACCAAGAGGTGTTGCATTTGTTTCTCTTTTAAATCTAAAAATACATCTTACTGTTTAATGATATGTACCTTTTCCATTATTTTTTTCAGTGTATTTTAAATTTTAAATCACCTTATTTTCTACAACCCTGTACTCATGTCAGATTGATTTCTTTTTATCATGTTCTCCAATGGCTTTGGTGCAGCTTAAAAAAATGCTTACAAGCTTTTCTTTTTCTTTTTTAAAAAATTGTCTTTGTTCCCTCTTGCTCCTACCTTGTCACCATTGAGATTAAGGATTACATATATATATATATTTCCCTGTTTTTTCTCTATTTGCGGTTATATTCTTTGATCTATAGAGAGAGTTACTGGTGACGTATTAGCGGAGCAGCTAATACTAGTCAGTGGTTATTGCTTTAATAGGAATATTCCTTTGGAGGTAACAGTGTAAATACTGTTTTAATTATTAAGCTACCATGGCATGTAGCTATGCCCTACCTTTTAGAGTGCATGACAAAAAGATGCATAATTATGATAGCTAAAATTTATATACAACTTTAAAATGCAAGGTATTTTACTGATCTCATTTGATCTTCACAACAACTGTGTGAAATGGGTGCTATTATTATCATCACCATTTTGTGTATATAACACCCCCATCATGTACGTCATGTATGTGTTATTTCTTGAAAATTTATAAAAGTTGTATGGAAACTAATTTTACTAGTGAAATGATCATATTTTATCAATGTTTGAATTTTAAAACAATAGGCATTAACCAAAATATAGAGGATTTTATATAACAATTCATAATTTCATTTATTTTTATGACAAATGTATTAATTCATGCAAACAATTGAAAATATGCTATATGTAAATTTTATACATTTCTTCCTGTTATATTAATAAGTTTCTTTGATTTTATTCAACTCTGTGTGTGTGTGTGTGTGTGTGTGTGTGTGTAAAGCTTTCCAGTTTTGATTGTTGGGTAAGAGATTTGAAGGAAGCCAGGCTTCTCACATACCCCACCAGAAACATTAACATATATGTATGTATATATATATATATATATATATATATATATATATATATATATATATATATATATATATATATATATATATATATATATATATATAGTAAGATATAGGAAAATGGATTAAAAAAAATAGAAACCAGTGGATAGAAAATGAGTGAAAAGCAAAATGCTACCACAGAAACATCTAAAACAGGTGGCAATGCTAGTGGCAGTGCAAATGGGAAAAAAAGAAGCAAATTTTCCTGTAGGATAATCTAATAAGCTATATACTTAAAGAAATTAAGCAAGAATTAATACTGGCAAAGGAAATAAAATAAGAAGCACAATAAAACTTAAATAAAGTCAATTTATTCTCTGATGCTTTGTGCATTGAATGCAAAGATGGGGAAAGGTGAAGATTCAGGAAAATATATGGGGAAATGAGGGAGGTCAAAGGTTCTATATTATATAGAAGTATTATGAAGACCTTATTAAAAAAATGTTAGGCACTGGACCTCACAATAAAATTGACCATCTTAAATAGACAGGAAAAAATTTATGAAAGTAGAAGTTGTCCCTGGGTCAGTTGTTTGAATAGTCATATCATCAATTCATCAGAGCAAGGAAGAGAATTTATAATAAACAAGAAAGCATAGGAATGAGAAAAAAAGAAATGGTATACAATTAATATTTAACACAAGATTATTAAAAATATGCTATTGAAAATGGAAAACTGGGAACTGGGCAACAGAAGAAATGTAACACTGACTGTAATGTTTTCATGGAGAAGTTAAACCAATGCAAAATAATTGCTTATAGTAAGTTGAAAATGGCCTTAGTTGTTGCCAAATAGAAAGTGATGTCTTGCAAAGGCAACAGTTTAGAAATATATACTTGTCTGTAAAGTCTTACACAAAAGAACGATAGATTATCTGTCTTAAACCAGAGAGAAATATTGGAGGGTAAAACCAATCTTTCCTCTACACTGCCCTCCTCAGAGAAAGAAAAAGCTTGGCAAGATACTTATCTAAAAAAATCATCCCAAGGATATTCATGGATGAAAACACATAAAGCACTATGAAAAGAAGAAAAATGAAAAGTATCTGCAAAAATTATGACAACAAATTGTTCACTTCATCAAGAATAGTGGAACCCCCACACTTGAAGCCTACATGTCACAGTCCCTGAATTGTTTACTTCTACAAAGTAGAAATAGCACAAAAGAGAACACAGTTTGGAACAGTGGCAGGATTGGACCAAGTATATATAGAAGTCATCTCTGCTAGAGTTCATGTTATTGTGAGGTCATTGAGGACCTGAGTATAAGATAGGAAGAACACTGAGGAAATGATTTAAAAGGAGAGGAAGTTACTAAAGGAGTAGAAAAAAATCTGAGACCTTATTGATACAAAAAAAAAGGTTACTGAGAAAATAACTTCCACCACTATTGTCATATCTATAAAAACAAAAAAAAATTATGAGGACCAGAATTGATACACAAATTGAGAGCATCCTTGATGAAGCTATCACTAACAATGAGGCCTTTATAGATAGTCAGCAATGGACTATAGTTATTTCAATCATAACTGACTGAAAAATGTAGAGAATATAAAATCCCATTGTACTTAGTATTTGTTGATTACAAAGCAGAATTTTATTTGGCAGAGCCTTATGGGCTCTTTTGCAAGGTTGCTCCTCTATGTGTATTAAGATCATTCAAGACCCCTTGCAATATGTAATAGTAGAAATAACTTCATTTAATCGCCTGCTTATAATAACTGTCCAGTATGGCTTAAAATATATGCTCATGAAAAGTATTTTGCTCAGAGTCCAGATTGAGGAGGGATGTCCTGTTGATTACACATCATATAGATTCACCTCATGACATCTTACATTGTGTTGACTGCATCAGCCTAAGACGTTACAGAACCTCCTGGAAGAGGTCTGTAATTATGCAAAAAAGTTTGACCTGTCAATCCACATAGGGGAAAAAAAAACATGAATGAAGAATATTGCCCAGATTTCAACATGTATTGAAATGGGCACCCTATATCGATTGTCCAACAAATCTGGGACAGATAATTCACATATACCCATGTAAGCTGTACTCACAATTTAAAAAGAGTAGGAAAGTGAGCTGGGTTGCTTTTTGGAAAATTACAGAGCACTTTTTGCTGACTTATTTTATTTTGTATTAACCTATTTGTGAAACTATAATAACTAAGGCTCATCTATATATCTATATTTAATTTTCAATGTTCACTTCTATAAGATTTTGAATTTGAAATTTTATCCCCTTCCCTTCCTTCCCCCTCCCCAAGATGGCAGTTCATCTTTTTAATATAATTATTTTACTAGTGTTGCAGCATGAAAGCAAGACCTGGAAGATCAATGCCAGTCAAAAAGTTATATAAACATCTTGTAGATGGCAAAGGAAAGGCATTTGGGGTGAGCAGGGTATAAAATCAGGAATTCCAAAGAACTAGAGAGCATAGATGGCCAGAGTGCTCCACTAGTAGCCTCACAATTGTAGGAGGAAGTGAGGAAGGCCTCTAGTATGTTTCATCCTTTGGTGAATTTGGGAGGTTTTGAATGAGGGTTGCACAGGATAGGTAGGCATAAATGGTTTGCTATATGGGTAATTAGAGTAAACTCCCATGAGATCAAAGATTCAAGTGGTAAAGTAATTAGAGAGTCAATTTAGAGTAGGCCAATGGTATAGCCAGGAAAACCTGGGTTTAAGTCACCCTTTTGACTCTTAAGGATGAGACTGTGGGCAAGTCATTTAATTTCTCAGTGTCTCCAAGCAGTTGTCTAAGACTAAATTGCACATTTTCCATTGGATAAATAGACAAAACATATGAAAAGATAGTTTCTTAAGCTATCAGTAACTATGTGAAATGCTTCAAATGACTAATAATTAGAGAAATGCAAATTGAAGAAACTCTGAGTTTATATCTCACTCCCAGAAGATTGACAAAGATGATAGAAACATAAATGATTGCTATTGGAGGAGCAACAGTAAACAGGCACACTAATATAATGTTGATAGTAGTATAATGTACTAAGAATCAGATGTGAAATACCATCCTCCTACTCCCATAATAGTCAAGAGCTGATAAACATTTGTTAAGCAACTAGCCAGGCATTGTGCAAATACCAATGAGATACTAATGGGGACTGTTGGAAGCAAGTACATTGTGGCATAGACATGGGGCAGATGGAGTTAACTTTGCTCCCAGGGGAATTGATTCAGCCCCTTTGGGCAAGAAGAATATAAAAGAAGTTTTTTAGACATTGGTAGGGAATTCTAGAGAAGCCAGAGAATCTCTTTGCTGACTGCTTTTTAAACCTTTTTTGTGTTTCATTTGTTTTTGTCTTCTGGACTGCTCCTAAACCACCTTGAGAATTACTTCTACCTGATGTTAGTGAAATATGATTTTAATTAAAGTAACATTTCCTTCAAATCTCTTGTTCTGAGTGGTCTGTTGTACTAGGTTCTGGATGGTGACTCAGAAAAGCTGTGAACTCATCTAGTTATTTTGGAAAGAAAAATGGAACCACACCCAAAAAGTCATTAAAGGTGACTTTGACCCAGCAATACCACTTACAAGTCGTGGCATCACCTTCCTCATGTCACAGTGCTCTCTGAGAACAAATGACAAATGATAAATATCCCAAGGAGATCAAAGAAAGAAGAAAAGGACTCATTTGTACAAAAAGTTTATGGCAACTCTTTCTTTCTTTCTTTCTTTCTTTCTTTCTTTCTTTCTTTCTTTCTTTCTTTCTTTCTTTCTTTCTTTCTTTCTTTCTCTCTTTCTCTCTTTCTCTCTTTCTCTCTTTCTCTCTTTCTCTCTTTCTCTCTTTCTCTCTTTCTCTCTTTCTCTCTTTCTCTCTTTCTCTCTCTCTCTCTCTTCTCTCTCTCTCTCTCTCTCTCTTCTTTCTCTTTCTCTCTTTCTCTCTTTCTCTCTCTCTCTCTCTTCTCTCTCTCTCTCTCTCTCTCTTTCTCTCTTTCTTTCTTTCTTTCTTTCTTTCTTTTCTTTCTTCTTTCTTTCTTTCTTTCTTTCTTCTTTCTTTCTTTCTTTCTTTCTTTCTTTTCTTTCTTTTTTCTTTCTTCTTTCTTTTCTTTTCTTTCTTTTCTTTCTTTCTTTCTTTCTTTCTTTCTTTCTTCCTTTCTTTCTTTCTCAAAGACCAGAAACTAGCATTTCCTGTCAGGGAGTGGCTCCACAAATAATGGTATATGAATGTAATGGAATATTATTGTACTTTAAGAAATGATGAAATTAATAGTTTCAGAAAAACCTCAGAAGACCTGTTTGAACTGATGCAGAATGGAGTGAGCAAGCAAAAACAGAATAGTTTACATGATAACATTATAAAGAAAACCACCCTGAAAAACTTTAGCTTTTTTTTTCTTTTTATGTTGAGGCAAAGGGGGTTAAGTGACTTGCCCAGGGTCACACAGCTAGTAAGTATAAAGTGTCTGAGGCTGGATTTGAACTCTGGTCCTCCTTGATTCCAAGACCACAGCTCTATTCATTGCACCACCTAGTGCCTTCAAAAAGCTTTAACTTTGTAGTGCAATGACCAGCCATGTTACTAGAGTACTAACGATGAACTATGTTATCTGCTTATTGACATGTAGATGATGGAACAAAGGTGCTGATAAGACATGTTTTTGTACATTGCCGATGTAGGAAACTGCTTTGTTTTACTGTGCATATTTTTGTAAGGTCTCTTCTCCCCCCATCCCTATTTGGATGGGTGGTAGGGAAAGGGGGATAAAGATAGGGTAGCAAAAAAAAAAGTAGGTCATTGAAACAATCTTTTTTTTTTAAATGCCCAGAAAATAACCCAGAAAATAAGCCCAGAAAAAAATCATAGACAACTAGAGAAACTTCAAAAATTATATTTTAAAGTTATTATTTATGTTTAAAGTATCAAGATATATGTAATAAGTACCTACAGTTTCACTGCTGTTGTCTTTTTCTGTTAAATTATGTATGTGGAAATGCCCATTTTATTTTGTACTTATTTACAATTTTAAGAAAAAGATTAAATTATAGACAATTTGGTGGTCTGCATTGGTGGAAGATGTGTTCACACTGGGAGTTCCTTCTATTATTAAAATCACAAATTCAGACTCTTCTCCCCTAACTCCACCCCTCCCCCCAAAAAAGAATAGAAAATTTAAAACCTAAATGAAAAAAGAAAAAATAGGAAGTAAAATTCCTGGAAGAAGCTTAAACAAATTTAAAACAAAACAAAAAAATTGAAAAGCTTTTCTCCCCCAAATCAAGAAGAAATAATGAAGAAAATTGCTAGCATGGGGTTTATAATAAAAAAAAAACCCTTGGAGAAATCATTAAAATCAACCAATACAAGGCTTACCACTAAATATAGGAAACACAGATTTACTAGAAATATACAATCAGAAAAATCACTAAAATATTCAAAGAATTAGAAAACATAGAATCATGACAGTCTTGGAAGAGAGATCATAATGTATTAATCTCAAGATAACTAATATTCTAGAAAATTAAGGAAAAAGGAATCTGAATGGTATCATTCAAGAAATTATCAAAGAATACTTCATAGAGCTTAAATAAGCAATAGAAAACAAATGGATTATTCCTTGGTTCCTTGACACATTATAATTTTATTCCAGTTGTTATAATTAGCAGTCAGGGAAAAACGTACACCAATTGCCTGAAGACAAAAATTACTTATTAGGTAATTAGTCAGGGTCATGGTAGGTTTCTCAAGGAAAATGAAAGGATGGGCTAGAATACAAAATTTTCTACCCAGAAAACTTCAGTTTTTCTAAAGAATGAAAGGTGGATATGTATACAAAATGATCAGAATTGCTTAAATTTCCCTCATGTGACCAAAAGTGGCTATTGATAGCTGCAATAGTCTGCTGATGATTCTGCCTGCCTTAAGTCTTTCTTTAGCTCAATTCATTCCCCATTTAATCACTAAAGTGATTTTCCTAGAACACAGGTCTGATTATGTCAACTCCCTGCCTCAAACTCCAGTGCCTCCTATTACCTCCAGGAGCAAATACAAAATGCTGTATTTGGTATTCAAAGGCCTTCATAGCCTAGCCTCCTCCTACCTTTTCAGACTTCTCGTCCTTTACTCCCCAGCACACAAATGACGCTGGTTTCCTGTGTGTTCCACAAAAACACTCCACCGCTTTACTCTAGGCATTTTCTCTGGCTGTCGATCATGCTTGGAATGCTACTCTACCACCTCCCAACTACTGACCTCCCTGGCTTCCTTTAAGTTTCAACTAAAACTCTAGCCTCTACAGGGAGACTTCCTTAATCCCTCTTAATTCTAGTGCTTGCCTTCTTTTAATTATTTCTCATTCTGCATATGGCTTGTTTTGTAAACATTTGTTTTTTATTATAATTATATTTAGATTATATATATATAAAATATATAATTATATTTAGAGAATTATTTACAATCAGTATAGTTTTAATTACAATGATTATAATAGTAATAGTATTAATATTAACATTAATAATAAATTATAACCATTATAATATATTTATTAAATGTATAATTAATAATATTAATAATAAATTATAATCATTATAATTTAATTATAAGTTCCTTGAAGATAGGAACTATTGTTTGCCTCTCTTTGTATCCCCAGTGCTTAGCACAGTGCCTGGCACACAGTAGGCATTTAATAAAAGTTTATTGAATTTAATTTAAATTGAAGCTGTAAATTGTCAGAATGTGAGAGCAATAAATAGGATCTAGTACTTCTGAGAAATGGGCATATTTGTAAATCCTTATCTTTTAGAGGAAGAGAGGCAGAATGGATTAGAAGAAAGAAGGAAATAGCATGGTACATTAAAAGGAATGCTGGATTTGAAGTTAGAGAACCGAGTTTGAATCCTGGCTTTTCTATTACCTAAATTGACCTTGGGCAAGTTACTGAAAAGCTGTGATTCTATTTAATGGCATGCTGACAAAGGCAAGCTCAGATGATGAAAGCCTTTATATAATTGCTATGAGGGGCTATACACTTAAAAATGCTCCATATAAAATAGAAAAAGACAAAAGCCCAATTAGAAATCAATTGATAAGCGTTTATTAAGCCCTTATGCTTGTTGACTGACTGCCAGGGATTGTTCCAAGTGCTGGGGGTGCCAGAAAACACAAACAAAAGGCAAAAAAGCAGTCTCTCCTCATAGGAACTTATATTTTAATGGGAGAGACATCCCCCACTTCCAGTTGGCTCTCTCGTCTCTAAGATAAAATATAATCTCAACAGTCCCAGAGCCTTCACAATCTGGCTAAAAGATACCTTCTTGTTCCTTTCCCCTTTCATTATACACATGTTATTCCAGCCAAACTGGGCTACTAGCTTGACAATCCATTTCCTAGTTCAGTATCTTTGCAAAGATTACAGTACAATCTTATCTCTTCTCTGCCTCAAACAGTTCTTATCTTCTTTCAAGAATTGGCTCAGATTCCACCTCCTGGACTGGGAAGCTTTTCTGAACCCCCAGGCTGAATGTTCTCTTCCATTTTTTCCTAGAGTACCTTATCTAGATCCCTTTAACTTTGTTTCACGCTTTTCTATAAGCATCTTGTACACAGATATTTAAGTGAAGTCAGGAACTGTCCTTAACCTTTTATCCCTAGTTGTTATTCCTCCTCTTTCCCCTTTTCCTCTTCTTCTTCCTCTGGAATTACCTCTGCCAATATAGATTGGGATATGCTCTGTAATTCACAGTCTTCTAAGAATTACTTGGGACATGGAAAAGTTATTTACCCAGAGTCAAACTGTCAGTATAAGTCAAAGGTGGAACTTGCAGGTAGGTCTTCCAGCCTCCAAATCCAGCTCTCTATCCACTGTGCCAAGTGGCCTTTCTCACCTAGCACTTGATTAATGTTAGAATGAATTTCACTTAGGCATAGGAGATAAGGTTGCTAAATGCCTTCCTGAAAGTTTTATGAAATCAAATCTTTGTCAGCTCATTTTTCTATTTCTTCTTAAAGTGGATTACATTGATCTAATATCCAATGAATATTAAAGATTCTGGTTAGATTTATTTTACTATATAGCATGGATGTTGCTTTTTTGTTTTGTTAGAATTGGATGTGTGTTTTTTTTTCTTCATTGTTTAGGACAATTAAGGAAATTTGCATTTTTTCTCCCTTCTCTGTTATTAGGGGCCACCAGCATTTGCACCTTACTATGAAAACCATGGTTATCAACTGGAAAACTATCCTCCAGGGCACCTTGTGAATACTAATGCTTATGTACCTTACCCAGCTCCATATTGCCCTTCAGCGGTGCCGCAGTACATCCCAAGAGTTCTTACTCATACTTCAACACCAGCAACAGTCCATTTACAACCAAAATCTTCATCTGGGATCGTGTTTACTTCAAGTATTATCCATTTTACATTTTTTCCCTAAATAAATGTGCCATTTAGTAATCTTTAGTTTATAGTCCTACCCTATCCCTTGAACCTTCTCTTACTATTAATTCCCCAACATGAATCCTCTGTAGACTCTACTGTCTTGTGCTGTTTCCTCTGCTCCAAACTTTTGCTCATGCTATTGCTGCTGTGTTCAAATCCTACTCACTCTGCAAGACCCAGATTAAATCTGACTTTTTTTCATTGTTCTTGAAATGATTAAGCTCACAGTGACCTCCTTCAGAGCTAAACTTCATAGCATTTATTTTCTAACATTCTATCAAATGCTGCTTCACTCTTACTGTACTTTCTCAGATGTGTATGTCTCATCTCTCATAGCATTGCAAGCCTAGAAAGCAAAGGCTATGCATTACTTTACCTTGGGATCTTCCTTTTTTTCCCCCTAGCACACTGTTATGTATATATTAGGTCTATTAATATGGTATTAATGAATTGAATTTCCTTGTGAAGACTAGCTGATACTGAAACATTCTAGTGATACCTTTCCAGATTTGAACTGTTTTCTTGGAATCAGCATAGCAAACTGTCTAGGGTTTAGACTATGACCCTTTCATTCATTTTCTGTTATTTATACTTTATTTTCAATTTTTCTTCTGTCTTCATTTTTTTTCCTGTTCCTTACAGAATCCTCTCTGAACTACAAATTCCCTTCTTTCTGCCTTTTACTTTAATTCTTTCTTCCAGATTAAATATGCCTAGTTCTTTCAAACTATCTTATTATGGCATCAATTTGAGACCCTTTGCCATCCTGGTTACCTTCCTTTTGATGTGTTCCACTTTATCATTGTTCTTAAAATGTGGTAACCAGAATTGAATACAGATCTCTAAGTACTGTCTGACCAGGGCAGAGACAACTATTGCGTCTCTATTTCTGGAAGCTCTGCCTTTCCTAATATAGCCCAGGATTGCATTAACTTTTAGAGCTGCCATGTAAGAGTGCGGACACAAATTCAGCTTTCAACTAAAATCACTAGCATTTTTTTCTGATAAACCAATATCCAGTCATACCTTCTGTATCTTGTATTTTGAAGTTGATTTTTTGAAATTTATTCCTATTAAATTGTATTATATTTGTTTCAGCCCAACATTCTAATCTTTTACCATATAGTTGTCCTATTGTATTGATTATCCCTAATGGTTTTGTGTCACCTACAAATCTGATAAATATACCTTATATGCCTTTATCCAAATCATTTATTAAGATGTTAAACAGCATAGGGCATAGATTCCTGGAGGTATCCTTCCAAAGGGATCAATCAATTGATCCATCCATCCATCCATCCATCCAAAGATATCCAAAAGACATCTAATTACTTGGTTCTGGAAATTCATCCAGTTCCAAATCCCCCTAATTATGGATATGGATTATCTTTAAACCACATTTCCTTGTGTTTTCTACAAATAAAGCATGAAAGACTTTATCAAGTGATAAGAATTACAATAACACTTGTAAAAGCATATGCCCTTCTGTTGATTGTCAACGTCATCATCTCCATGTGGGAAGGACAGAAAGCACATGGTATGTTGGATTATCTAGGTTTGAAAGCCTCTGTTTTAACATTTGCCAGAAATGTTACTGAGAGGATTAATTTTGCCTAAAGTTAACTTTTACGAGGAGGGGTTGAGAGATGATTTAGAAAAGGACTGATATTCCCTTCCCTTATATTCCATTCACAGCCTAACCACTTCTTCTTTTGTATTCTAGAGAATAAGAGTAAAGAAGATTTTGCTCATTCCTTCAAGTAAATTAGGTTGTAAAGAAGTGTTGGGTGGTTTCTAGTTATATCCCATCTACTTACCATCACAAATAATAGCTGACATAGATAATACTTAAACCATACAGAGTACTTATATTGTCTGGTTTTAATATCATCAAATCCTATCAGGTAGATACTATATAGGCATTATTCCTATTTTATAGATTAGAACAGTTGAGGCTCTGAGAAATGAAACGGCTTGTCCATGGCATGTCAGAAGCAGAATTTGAGCCACAATCTCTCTTGACATTAAGTCCAGAACTCTTTCTGCTATACTACTGCTTGGGTAAATATGACCTTGGATAAGTCATTTTGCTTATCTCATCATTAGTGTCCTTGTTATAAAATCAGAAGCTTGGACATACTTATGTAATTCTTTCTAGCACCAACATTGGATTGTTTCTGGTGCTTCTGATATCTTGGTTTGTACTTCTACTTTCCTTTGAGTTTTGGGTGCAAATATGTTCTTTAGTTCCAGTCTTTGTTGTATCATTAAAACAGAGATAATACTTACACTATCTGATTTGCAGGATTGTTATAAGTACGGTGCCCTGTAAACTTAAAACACTCTAAGAGTGAATTGTAGTTATTATAGTACTATGAGGAGGAGATTAATTTTCCAAGAGGAACAAACATAATGGCTCACATTTCTATTGTTTTAGCTTCCTCATAAGAACCCAATGAGATAATACTCTAATTATTATTATTATCTTCTTTCATATTAGGAAATATTCAGAGAAATTATGTGACTTGCCCAGGATGACATAAATAATAGGAAATGGATCCCAGAATGCAACCTAAATCTTCAGAATCTGAAATCAGCTCTCTCTCTCTCTCTCTCTCTCTCTCTCTCTCTCCTCTCTCTCTCTCTCTCTCTCTTTTAATTTGAGGCAATTGGGGTTAAGTGACTTGCCCAGGTACACGTAATTTCAAGTATCTGAGGCCATATTTGAACTCAGCTCTTCCTGACTCCAGGCTGGAAGCTTTATTCACTGTGCCACCTAGCTGTGATCTCTCATTCTCTCTTCTTTTACACCCCTCTTCTTTCCTGTCTCTCTACCCTTTCCTACTGATTCATGGACCAAGCTCTAAAATCAGAATTATAGAGTCATGTAATATTAGAATTAGCACAGAAATTATATCATCCAGCTCCTTTTATTTTTGTTGAACATGAAACTGATATCCAAAGAGAATAAAAATGATATTACCAATACTTAATGCTCAGATTTGAGAATATCACTTGGTACCCTAAGTGGCTATATATTATTGTAAGCTTTTTATTGTTGTAATATTTAGAACTTAGGTAAAAATTACTGTTTCAATCTTCTTTCTCCTGCGTGCTGTTGCTTCTACCAATCATTTCTTGAGTAAATGTTGGTGAGTTGAATTATTTCTGCCTTGGGCTTATTTCTATGTGGTCATTGTAATATTCACGTAGTACTCAATTTTCCTAAAAAAAACATGTATTTTCTTATTAATGTTCGTTCTTGCTTAATAATAGTTTATCACTCTAGTATAGTAACTTTTTCTTTTTTTTTTTAGAGTATTTGTTATCTTATCCATTTTGCCTTTTAGGGGTTCTCTTTAATGCAACATATCTAGTTACTTATTTCTGAGTTTAATTCTGTTAACCTCAAGGAAAGGTCCTAACTTACGTTTATCTATGGGTGAAATCCATAGCATGAGAAGGTTTAGATGGGTTAGGATCTGTAACCATGTAGATTATACCCACAGTGATGAGATCATGGATCTGTTGATGTAGTTTTAATAATGTCTTTGTTTCTTACTCTTCATACAAATAAAGCATGAACTATAATTCTTTTACTAATGATGTGCATAGGCAGGTATGAAGGTGTGTATCCAGATACTTTTTTTTAATCCTTTTTTTAAATTCTTTTTTTTTTTTTGGTTAGGCAATGGGGTTAAGTGACTTGCCCAAGGTCACACAGCTAGTAAGTGCTATGTATCTGAGGCTGGATTTGAACTCAGGTCCTCCTGAATCCAGGGCTGGTGCTCTATTCACTGCACCACCTAGCTGCCCCCTTTTTAAATTCTTGAGATACATTTTAACAAAAATAGGAAATTAAGCTTTTAAAAGTCAGTATATTTTTAATAAGCTATAACATGTGGGGAGCTGGGTTTATGATAGTCTGGCTTTGTTTTATTCTTTTCTTTTCCCACCTTATTCTAGAGGCTAAGAAAATCGTATGTATTGTCATTAGCATGGGAATAATACTAATTGGTGCTGTGATTGCAACTATCTTTCTTTGGAAGTTTGGTAAGTGCATTTTCCCTAATTTTTATAATGAAAACAAATGTTTTTAAGATATTTTATGTGTTCCAAGCTCATTGTTAAAATTTTGTGGATTCTTGGACTGTGTTACTATTTATTAGGGGATGGCTGAACAAATTGTGGTAAGTGAAGGTATTAGAATATTACTGTATCTTTAGAAATTATATATGAACAAACAAAAGTAGTCTCAGTGCCTGAGGCAACTTGCTAAGACTAAATCTTGCAAAGCAGATGCAGATTTACATTGGTAGAGGAAGTAAGTTCATCATGAAAAGAGCCCTACACTGATGTAATCATAGGTCTGTACTCCCCCAAAAGCTGTTGTAAAAGTGATTAATAGAAATATGGAATGTTGTAGAAATACAGAGATTGTGTGAAATGGTACAAAATAAAGAAGACCACGCCTGAAGAATTACCATAGCTATATAAGTTAGTACCGTAATAAATATCAAACAGCAACCAAATTCAGATCATACACAATGGACAACATTGGTACCATAGTGTAAGGAGAAAGAGATGAAGGGAAAAGAATTTCTATTTAATTTGGCGTTATCTTTTTTTTTTTTAATAAAGGTTAAGAGGTATAGCAACAAGTAGAGATAGTTCTTTTTACTTGAACTTAGGATAACTTTATAAAACTTTAACACTATAAAAATAGAGATTTAAAAACATTGTTCAAGGACTAGTAGTGGGACATTTTAAATAAAATGTTAAATACAGTTGGATGATTAACTATTGAAAAATGAACTGCATACATTTTTCTTTAACAGTAGTAAGCTGCAAAAGTGTAAAGTTGCACCAGTCAGAAATCATTTTTATGCAATTTTACTCAACTCTTTTTAATGAGTGTTTTTATACTGATTTTGTGTAAATATTATAATTACTTTTCTGTGAACATGAACTTAGGAGACTACAAGCATCTTGAATACAAGAACTGTCTCACTTTTGTGTTTGTTTCCCTGGCACCTAACATAATACTTGGCACATGGTAGGCACTTAATAAATGTTTGTTGATTGATTGAATATATATTTGAGGTAGTTTATTTGCAAAGTTTTGGGGACGTGATTTATATAAGAACAAAATTTATCAATTAAGAAAATAATTAGGTAAATAAAAATTATTTTTCCTTGTCTTCTTTGTACTACTGTGGCTCTTGAAAAAAACTGGCTGTAAAGAATCCAGGCATTTTTTCCTTATTATAAACTAGAAAATCATCAATAAACATGAACAGTTCCATGTACAAAGGCTAGAAATGACAGATTCTTCATTAAACTGCAAATGTATTACAAATAGTTTGTTCCTTTAAATTTATATTAAATTATATATGGTAATACTAATGTTGGCTGATTGTCTCTCCCTACCTCCTTGCTCTCCTCCTTAATTGTCTATTTCTCTGCTTTGTGTATTTTAAAAATTGTGTATTAATGCTCTTTTCTTTTCTGTCTTCCTTTTACAATTTTTTGGTAGCAGTGTCACTGCATTTCAACTCTTTTCCCAAACTCTTTACCCTTTTACTAAAACATTCTCTTATCACAAAAGTATAGTAAAGCTAAACAAATTTGTGTTGTAATGGTTGTGTCTTAAAATACATATTAAATATGCATATGTGTATATGTATATACATGTATGTATACATACACGTACACACAGATGTTTCCAACAAGAGGTAGGAGGTGTGTTTCATCTGGAGTTGTGATTTGTTATTCATTGTATTGATCAGTGTTCTCTTAGGTCTTTAAAGTTGTTTAACTTTACAGTGTTGTAGTCCTTGTATAAATAGTTCTCCTAGTTCTACTCATTTTACTTGGCATAATTTTATACAAGTTTTCCCATGTTTCTTTGACTGCATCCCTTTGGTTATTTCTTACAGCTCAATAATGTTCTATTTGTTCAGCCATTCCTCAGTTGATGGATGCTCACTGTATTTCTAGTTCTTTGCTACAACAAAAAATGTTGCTGTAAATATGTTTATACATATAGGTACTTTTTGTCTTTTTTGTTTTTAAACCTCTTTAGTGTATGTAGCTGGTGGTGATGTAAATAGCACAAAGAAAGAATGGTGTAGAGTTTTTTTCTTATAATTCAGAATTGCTTTCCAGGATCGTTGGACCAATTCACAGCCTCATTGATGTACTACTGACTGATATACCTGTTTTCCAGTAGCCTCTGCAACATTTTGTCATTTCTTTCTTTTGTCATCTTTGCAATGTGATTGTTATGATTATTATAATTATGTTATGTTATCCTAGAGTTGTTTTAATGTGCATTTGTCTAATTATTAGTAATTTAGAGTTGTTGCTTTTTCACATGGCAGTTGATAGCTTATGCTTTTTTCCTTTGAGAACTTCATCTTTATAGCTTCCAGGCATTTATTTTTTGGGGAATAGCTCTTGTTCTTATAAAATAGCTATTTATATGTCTTGCATATGAGACCTTTATCAAAGAAACTTGCTATGAAGAATTTTTTTGCCAGTTAACTGTTTCCCTTCTAATTTTAGCTGTATTTCTTTAGTTTGTATAAAAACTTCAATTTTATAGAGTCAAAATTATTTATTTTTTCTCCTGTGATCTTCTGTCATGAATTGGTCAAGAACTCTTCCTCTATCCATTGTTGTGAATGGAACACATTATTCTCCTTTGATTTGTTTATGTTCTGACCTTTTATATTTAGATTATATATATCTTTTTGGAGCTTGTTGTGGAATATGGTGTGAGATGTTGATCTAATCCTAATTTCTTCCAGACTATTTTCTACCATTTTCCAGTTTTTCCATCATTTTTTGTCCTTAAATTACTAGTTTGTGATCTTGGGTTTATTAAACGCTGCTGTTTTAGTGCTTTCTGGATCTTGTGTTCCAAATCTATTCTGCTGATCAAATTTTTTTTTAAATCAGTACCAAATAGTTTTTGATGATCACTACTTTTTGGTCTAGTTTCAGATTTGAAACTGCTAATATTCATTTGTTCCTGTGGGATGTGTGTGTGTGTGTGTGTGTGTGTGTGTGTGTGTGTGTGTGTGTATATGTGTGTGTATTTGGCTTGGCACTGAATCTGAATATTAATATAGGTAGTATCATTTTTATTATATTAATATGGCTTAAACATGAGCATTTAACATCTTTTCAATTTAGGTCTCTATTTCTACAAAGAGAGTTTTGGACTTATTTCTGTGTTCCTCTTGGCAAATGTACATTTAACTATTGTGTGTATTCTTTAATCATTTTGAATGGAATTTCTTTTTTTGTTGTGTTTTGTTGTGTAATGTACACAAAAGCTGATAATTTGTGGATTTATTTTTCCTGCTTTTTCAAAGTTTTTGGTATTTCTAAATTTTAATTTTATTATTTTTTCTTCATTAAAAAGCATTTATTTTCTTTCCCTTTTCCACTCCCTCTGCAATGAACAATTAAAAATAAAGAATATCCTCATAACAAATAATGTACGGTCAAAACAAATTCCCACAATTCCTATCTTATTCTGCATTTTAAGTCCATCATTTCTCTGGAAAAATATAGGTCTAGTGCTTCATATTCCATCTTCTGGAATTCAGATTTGTCGTTGCATTGGTGAGAATTCTAAAGTCTTTTGAAGTTGTTCATAATGTTGTTTTGATAGTATAAATTGTTCTCCTAGTTATGCTTACTTTATTTCACATCAATTCATAAATTTCTTCCTAGTTTCTTTTGAAACTGTCTATTTTAACAGTTCATTCACAAAACAAACATTCTATTACCTTCATAAACCAGAATTTGTTTAGCTGTCCCTCAATAGGTGGGTACATTCTTCTTTTCTTTTCTTTTTTGCCACTACAAAATGAGCTTCTATAAATATTTTTGTAGATATGGGTACTTTTCTTATTTCTTTGATTTCTTCAGAGTATAGGCCTAGTGGTAGTCTTCTGAGTCATATGGTATGTACAGTTTAGTGCCTTTTGGAGCATGGTTCCAAATTGTTTTCCAAAATGCCTGGGTCAATTCAAAACCTAGCCAAAAGTACCCTTTCACAAAATTCCTCCAAAAATTGTCATTTTCCCTTTTTGTCATCTTTGCTGTCCTGATGGATGTGAGGTGGAACTTCAGAGGTATTTGCATTTGCATTTCTCTAATTATTAGTGATTTGGAGAAATTTTTCATATGATTGTTGTGACAATATCTATCTGGGTGACAAGATCTATCAGGTTTTCTCCCTCAACAGGGATGCAATAGGTATAAGCTTTCCCTAAAAGGAAGCAAAACTGTAACGGGATTTTGTTTGGCCCTTGTCTCCTTTGACACAGATTCTAGACAATCTAAGAACATAAAAAGTTCCATCTACCTGTAGTCATTGCCATTCTGATTGGATAGATATCTGAAAACCACAAGAGTCACCATATCCTTTTCTGTTAACTAGATGAATTTGTATATGGAGAGTGATGTATCTCAAGGAACTAAGGGCCACTCTATCCTTATTGCATATACTTACTATGTTAGGGAAAGTTAACATCTTGTTAATTGTTCATTGACTTATGAGTGTCTCATTTCATGCTTACCCTTAACATTTGGTATAGCTGGTAATTGGAACAAGATGAGATGTTCTTGTGGATCACATTGTGATTGAGTTGGAGGAAGTACATTGCAAATACAGAGGGTTAGATGAATGGATGGTCAGGTACTGCATGGTGGTGTTAAGTCACATGATCATATATAGGGAGTCCTCTTGATCGGATAGGAAGCAAGCTGTCACTCACTGAGCAGTTAGCTCAGTGGGTTCTGGAGAAGGCTCCTTCAGAGGGTAAAGAAAGTACCAAGTCCTGCATTGTCTTGTTATTGAGCATCCAGCAGAAATTGGACAGCTAGCATAATAGGACTAAAATTTAGCTAGGTTAGTTTATTAAGCAACTAGAGACAGATCTCAGCCTTAAGGGAATGTACAATGAAAGCTGAAGAGCACCTAATGGAACTGACTTTGTAAGTAAGGTGACATTTCCTGATAGGGCTAGGGATCT